ACCAAATTACACTTGGGTATATCAACTATTTGATAAAAAGAAAAAAATCTATTGGTCTTGTATCTTGGCAGATTATATCTCCTCACAATGGGCGTGTCTTCTTAAAGACGTGACCTTCTACATATGTGGAAGGTTATTCAGTTTGAAAAGGGACCAAAAATCAGAGGATGCTGAATATGATTGCAACATCTCAATTGTAATCTGTGGTATTGGACTTTATAAATAGCATTTGATTGATTGTTTACTCATTCAAAATGAAACAATGTCAAGGAGAAATCTGGTGGAGCCAATCACAGGTACTTTAACCAGTAACAACGACAGCTTAAGTGACAATAATAAGCTAAACGTCTGTTACATATCATGCAACAGGTAGAAAAGAGGCCATAAATATAGTGGTACCGAGCTGTTAACCTAAAGCCATTGGCCACTTATTTCACGTTTAAATTATTCTGACCGCTATCTGCGTGGTACCGTTTTGCAAGGGCTAATATGAGTAAAGACTAACTAATGCACCTCAAGTGAGCAGTGTGGACACAACATTTTAAGTTTACAGAACTTAAAATGTATGGACTATCATTGAGACAAAAATAGCCTGATCAAAAATCTTTCTGCAATCCCTCGTAGTTTTTCTGGACTACATGCAAATCAGACTCTGCCCTACATCAGTGCAAAGAGTGATGGCAATTCACCAAGAGCTGCTTATAATGGAAGTAAAACCTGAAGTTGGCAACACTTACGGTACGTCCACACAGCAGCTTTTCAAAAATCTTGAAAATCTTGGAGCTGGGCGTGTCTGAAAGCAACCAACAACCAATCACATGAATCTCCCGCCCCCGACATACAAAGCAAAAAACCCCGGTTCTTCTCCACTATTTCTTTAAACATTTATGAGATTAATGTCTATGGTGCTATTTTATGCTACATTCCATGCTGGCTAATGATACTGTCTATGCTTGCTAGCAACGAAGTAAACTGGATATAAAATCCCCAAACAAGCGAAAACCTACCAGTTTCACCCACTGCCTCTGCCACCTCCCTCCATGCCTGGTTCCTCCGGTTTGTATCCCGGTAAGTAAATAGGGACTGGTCATAAAGAACCGGGTGATTTGCTACCGCAATAACTAAGTTCTCCTCCATTTTTGTTAGGAATATAGAAATGAACTGCGGTCTGGCTCTCCCAGCTTGCACGCGGTTTGATTGGCTAGCGCTTGAACTGTCAGATTTGCATAAACGGATCTGATTGGCTGTCGCTTCCAGCTCAGCCTCAAAAGTTGAACATTGTTCAACATTGGAATCCTGAACATCCTGGAAATCCTGGAAATCTTCGCCTCGCCCCCCCACAATGCAGTTCGGCGACAAGCGAGGGAAAGTGACGTCATCCCCATTCAAAGTCAATGGGCAGAGACGCGCTGGAAGCGGTGGACAAATCGCCAAAAGCTGTTGTGTGTACGGGCCGTTAAAGTTTAGCCAGAAACTGCATGACTCAAATGGATTATTGAGACGATCAATCTATCTGTTTTGCAAAGGCACCATCGCTGCATTTCCCCAGTTCTGGAAATACTAACTAGGTTTGGTTTTGCAAGAATAACATTTGTGTGATTGGTGAAACAATAGATTGATCTATGAGAGTTTAAGCAGAAGACGTTGAAGAACTGCAAAATAATCGTCTCAATGATCCATTTGAGTCATCCACTTCATGGCTAAACTTTTAATGTTGTGACTACCCTGCCAACTTGAGATTTGACTTCCATTCTGCAGCTTCTGGTGAATTGCCATCACTCTTTGTCCTGATGTAGGGCAGAGTCTGATTTGCATGTAGTCCAGAAAAACTACGATGGATTGCAGAAAGATTTTTGATCAGCAGGCTAATGGAGACGCAAGGTTAGAAAAAGATTTGGGTCATATTTGAAATACTGTTTGGCAAGAAAAGATCCGTAAAAACGAAACAGAGTACACTTGAATATGAGACAAGACAATGGTGGGGAACTGCAGATAAGAACGTCCTAAATGTTCTCTCTTAAAATCACTTTTCCATGTTGGCTGCAGGCCTATGGCACCATCGTACGACTATTAGATGTTTATTTGTCACATTGAAGGGAGAAAACAATCCACTGGGAGCCATAAGCAGATGTAAAAACGGCTTTAATGACGGGAGAAATGTCATTGTTATCACCTTCCCCTCTCATAGGAAAAGGAAAATAACCCTTCATTTATTTGGCAGAGCTCTGAGGCATCCTCGCTGCGGAGAGATGTCTGATAAAGGTGACGGTGGAGAGGCATCTTTCTCTCCCTGCCTCTGTTTCTGCAAGCTGCCTCTGCAAAGGAAAATACTCCATTTGATGTGTGAGGAGGCAGCGAGACAGAAAACGGTTCCTGGTGCTTGCAGACAAAAGCAGACTCTTTCAAATGTCATTGTTTTCTCAGGCAGGTGGTGGAAGCACTCTGAACCGGTCAGATCGAGTTCCTGAAATAAGTCTGGAGCCTTCAGGCTGACACACTGGGCAGAGATGCCATTTGGGATTGGTACAACAATATGTGATATCATTAAGTAGACACCATCATAGGTGTCATTTATACTTAATTTGTCAAAAATGTCCTGAAAATAAATGGAGCTTGCAGAAATGCTTATTCGAATGTGAAAAATAATCCCCCATCGTACTCTTTTACTCTTGTATTGTAAAACATCAGTTGTAGCTACAGTCTCTTTGTGCTTTCCAGTATTATTGCTCAAAAAAGAATTCCAGAAAGAAAGATGATCTGAGTCTGCCCAGTTTAGTGGCGCTGGGAACGCTGGGGAATTTGACCACTTTTTAAAAGCATTATTTGTCAAAAAAATGTCTTCAAAATGAGAAATGTGAATGTTTTATTTGCACAAGAGAACATGTACAATCTCCAAGACATGGGTGGGTGTATGTCTGGGGTGCAATTTGAATTTGGACACATCTTTAACTTCAAATAAAAAATGTCTAGTCTAGATTAAAAAAAAACTGTAGGCGTCTTAAAGAGGGCCTATTATGCTTTTTGGTCCCTTTCCTTTAGTGTGTTATTTAGGTTTCTGTGCATGTAAATGGTCTGCAGAGGCTAAAATCCTAGTTCCGCTCACACACACTATGAGTGCGGGCAATACACTACTTGTGTTTTTATCCGAAAAAAGTGCCCCCACCGTTTTCCAAACAAAGCCATAATTATAAAAGAAGGCATCATACATGTCTGATAGTCTGATTAATCTCTCGCAGACTTTCCGTTGCATCGCGTCCTCTATAATGTAAGTCAGTGTTTGGAGGTGCCTGTCAGCGTCAGTTTGTCCGTCAGTCCAGATGTTACGCTTTCCTAACTGTACGTTGAAGATTTAAATGTCCCAGGAGGCCAAGGGGCGACCATTTCATGAGGATGATGGCTCTTTTGTTTTGGGTGCCATCGAAAATGACAGGGCGAGCGGGGGCAGGGTGGTAAGGGTCACAGGAATCCAAAATATGTTTCCCCTAGCACAAAGGCCATCAGTTTGGTGGTCCCGGGGCTGAATGAGCGGGCTTTTATTTTGAGTCCATCGGTGACCGTTTGAATATCACACAAGAGGTTTGCGGGTATCCAGGCGATGGCCTCTCATGTCGCTAACCTCTGACAGATTTGATGTCCGTTGTGAGATGAGTGATTCTTCCAGAGCTCATTATGAGGGAGACTGTTGGTCTAAAAGCGCTCCGTTGATCCAGAGTTAATGACAGCAGAGGCTTCGTCACTCCGGGGGTCCTGCAAGACCTCTAAGGATTCAATCAAATCAAGAAGAGTCGTGCAAAGAAGACGACTTTATGGTCATTGTAGATCTTAATTTAATAAAAACTGAGCATGGAAATGATTTAGTGTTTCGGACAATCCCAACAAGCATTTTTTTCTATAAATGTTACTTAAGATCACCTTAAAGCTTATGGCTATAGGTTTTTGTAGCATTTGAATAAAACGAATTAGCTTAAGGTTATGAACGTCTGATAGAGGCTGAAACAAATGTGAATATGACTGAATATTTTGAATGTGGTCATTACATTTAACATGTTTTACTTGTGCTTTCCTGGGGGTGAAAGTACGAGCTGGTGGTGAGTGATGCAAAGTGGACCACTTCAACGCCTCAATTAATTAGAATATAAAACATGCATTAAGGAAAGAGGAAATTATTGGTGCTGATTTCTGACAATCCCAACAAACCGTTCTTTCTCTTGATGCTAGGTATGACTACCTTTAGGGTTAGGGTAAGGTGTTGTAGCATTTAAATAAAACCAATGACTTACAATAAAGGTAGCGAGAGTCTGAGTGTCATTACTGTAAACAATTGTAAACATCACAGTTGTTTGTCTAAGTTCAGGAAAAGATTGTGGTTTGGTTCACAATAAATGCTAAAGTGGTTTTACTTGAGTATGGAAATGTGTACTTTTCGGTTAAAATGACAGGAAAAGCTACGTGACATTGATTGATTGATTTTTTTAACTTCCTGGTTCACTATTAAGGCCCGGACACACCAAGCCGATTTTGGCCGACAATGAGCGTCAACACACCCTACTCAGATTGGTGTGTCCCGCACCGTTGTGTCTTTTCAGCCGGGCCGACACTTTTCGGCGCCTTTTCGGCCGAAAGCCAAAGGCTGTCGGTCAAATAAATCACTCTGATTGGCTGTTCAGCTTAGCGAATCAGTGCATGAGAAGCTAAACGGAAGTGAGGGACCCAAACAAACTATTAAGAAGGCAAATTTCATTTACCTCCAGCTCTCGACACAGGTTCGGGAAAGCCCCGTGAGCTTCTCGCTGTAGAGTGAAAATGGAACGCACGCTATTTGTTGTTTGTTTATATCACGCAGTCTGTTCTTCTTCTCTCGGTTATCACGCAGTCTGTCTTCCGGTTGCCTCTTTTGAATGACAAATACACACTACCGCCGCCTGCTGGTAAGGAGAGTTATTGCCACTCACGCATGCGCAGTCAGTACGTGCTACTTGGCCGTCGGCTGAAGTCTTTGCGGTGTTTGTGCGACACATGGCCAAGACGCAGAGACGTGAGGCGACACAACAGTCGGGGGTCCGTCTGTGTCAGTTCTTTGGTGTCAGCTTGGTGAGTCCGGGCCTTTACATTCAACTTGATTTGGTGGCGAATTATAGTGAATGACTTCTGTAGGAATACCTGTGAAAAATGTATAAGAACCGCCTGGATCTCTTGCTTTTTTGCAGGTTATATACTATATATACTATATATAGCTTGTTTTCTTTCTTTATCCCCTAAGGATTGATTATCCTGAATATTGCCATCTTCAGAGTACAAGAGGAGTAAAACCTATAATCCATTGTACTCACTGAATGAATGGCGATGAAACACCTTTTCTGAAAATGCATTGATTAATTTACTTTTGTGAACAAGGTCTTCACATCCTACGGTGTGTTTGGTAAACTCCTCCGCTGACCGCACACAAAGCACCTTACGAGGCCACGGCTGCACACATAAGGTGTTATTAATGGTGCTGGCTTGAATTACACGTACTGTACTATTTTCTATGTGAAAGAGGTCAGAAGTGCAGATGTGCTGTGGGATATTTGCACCACACGTTACAAAGATCTGACAGAAATGGATTCGTCTAAATGGAGCATTGTGCTCATGGTGTTAGCTCTTATCTGGGAGCAGGATCTCTCATGTTGTGGTATATTGCTCCGGCACTGATCCTTTGTAACACATTTAGAGATGTTATCAACGTTTCTTATTCTATAGAGTCGTGCAGGAATTATGTTTTGTTTGTAGGCCGACTCGGGAGCTAGAATTACACGGGCTCCCTCGAAATAAAGCAATATGTTCTTATGAATTTTGGATTATTGCAGGAAAGGAGATCTGTGACAGACACACGTTTATGATATGTTATGTTCAGCAGGATAAGCTCCATATATAAACACCACTTTATAATTTGTTGGCCTATAAAGGAATAAAGCTTTGGGCTTCAAAGGACCTACAGCACGGTCACATGACTTCACATCACCACCGCTAAGCTAAAGGCGGCTAATGTTGGGCTATAAAGGAACTACAGCTCGGTCACATGACTTCACGTTACCACCGCTAAGCTAACGGCGGCTAATGTTGGGCTATAAAGGAACTACAGCACGGTCACATGACTTCACATCACCACCGCTAAACTAAAGGCGGCTAATGTTGGGCTATAAAGGAACTACAGCTCGGTCACATGACTTCACGTCACCACCGCTAAGCTAAAGGTGGCTAATGTTGGGCTATAAAGGAACTACAGCTCGGTCACATGACTTCACATCACCACCTCTAAGCTAAAGGAGGCTAATGACTTCACGTCGAATGATGACTTTTAGTTGTCTCGTTTATTTACTGACGTATTTTACGTCGTAGAACAAAACGTTAAAACGTTGACCAATTGTATTCCGATATTCATTCTTGTTTGTTTGCTAATTTTGACAGCTGTAAGAGATCGTGCCGCATTACACACATTTTACCTTGTAGTGATAATATCATGATGGTTCTGTAAACTGTCTCAGATGTCCTCGTGCCAATAAAACGTGTTTTACATTTCCACGTCCTACTAAGATATAGAACCAATTAGGGATGCACGATATTGGTTTTTTGAAACCGATACCGATAACTTCCTGCTTCTCAAGACCGATACCGATAACAAAAAAAAATGTACGCCACTAATTATTTTAACGCGATTAACGCATGTGTATTTTTTTTCCTTGGCCGCCCCGTAGTTTCAGAGCGCATCGAGTTTAAAATACCATCTACAAGCTGATGCTGACAGCCCCGCTCCTGCCGCCCGCTTGTGGCAGACCACACTTCCACGCTCACCGGCAGGCACCGACTGGCCATCTGGAGGACCGGGAGGGTGTGTGTATGTGTGGCCCGAGCGAGCGAGAGAGAGACCTTGTGTGCATTGTTGTTGTTAGCATCTGGTGCTAGCTAGCTGCGCTAACGGATATAAGGAGCTGTTTAAATGAAAACAGAGGAGCGACATTTCGCCACAACTGCGCCGAGCACTTGACTTTATGCAGGAAGCCAGACAGTGGGACATTGTACGAAAAGTCAGCACACTCAGCACGGATAGTGCGCAACATGATTGCAGCGTCCAGGCAGCTCCGGTTCGAGCATATGCCTTGAGTTGCACATAGCTCCAACGCCCATACCACCGACGACATGTTTGTTTACTGTCCTGGCTTCACGGCCGCACACCATTTACGTCACAGCCAGGCATGAGTTAGGGAGCGCTGGATTTGTGAAGAACTCCCCTCTTCCTAAACCACTAATACCACAGTACTGGCAAAACGGGAGGAGCCGAGTGAAAAACAAGCGCCCCTCATCCCAATCCACCCACACAAAAATATAAAAATATATTGTATATTATCGGGGCTATTAATACTGGTATCGGGTTTATCGGGATGACGTCATAATTCCTAATATCGGACTGATAATTATCGGGCCGATAATTATGGTGCATCCCTAGAACCAATGGATCATTAC